ATCCATTTCTTTTTTTTTTCTTTTTCTTTCCCTTTTTATTTTATCCATTTCTATCTCATCAATATCAAAGGCATAGTACTTGCTCAACATTAAGTTCAATTTTTGCATCACCAACTTCACTTATTGTGTAAATAAAAGAAAGGATTAATAAATACAATGAAATATTGTTTAGTCTATAAAATCCTACGATCTGGATGAACCCTGAGAACCTTGTATTAAATGACTCCCCAGACAGGAGGAGAAACATTACATACGTAACATATGTAGTTTTCTACACACCATTTAGAAAAGGTGACCCATACAGGAAAACAGACTAAAGACGCGGGGGAGGGGGGTGTAGGGCAAAGGAGGTTCAGTTACTGCTTAATGAGAATGGGGTTTGTGTGGAAAGAAATGCAAGTTGCACAACATTTTAACTGTAATTAATGTCAATGAAATAAGCATTTTTAAATGGCTGAAATGCCATCAACAAAATCTGTAGGAATGAAAAATGAAAAACAAAAAACAAAACACCAACTGCTCTGTAAACATTCAGAGCATAATTAATAAAACAAAACAAAATCCTAACTGGCTAAAATGGCAGATTTTTACATACGTATGATTAATCTACTGAAATGCAAACATATTCACACCTCAACCTGTGCATGAACACCTACGAAAGCATAATCCTAAAGGTCGAATGTCAGGAGCAACCAAGCCCCCCTTCCTGGCATGTACTAATTTTACCAGGGGCAGACAGCAAGCAAAGTATTGTCTGCCCTTTAAGTATTTTTATAGGTGTTAAGGGTTTTTTTAATGGCATTATCATTAGCAAAGGTGTCTACAAATAAAACTTTCATGACCTTAAAAAAGGAAAGATCCCCTTCAACAGGTGACAGATATGCAAACTGTGTTACGTGCATGCAAAGGAGTTTTAATGTGTGATGGAAGTAAAGCCCTAGGCCGACCCGAGGGAGCCTAAGTACACCGTGCCGAGCAGATGAAGTCTGGTTGGAGCAGCTCCCCACTGCAGGACTCCAGCTACCCACCTAACACTCTGGAGCAGGAAACGCCAGTGTGTAGAGATCAGAGGGAGGGGACAGGAGGAGAAGAACAGGGGGTAGAACAGGCGCATCTAGTCTGGCCCACTTTGAAAGCAGTGAAATGACTATAATATAGACACTGTCACGGTGGACAGTCCATCTGTTGAAAACCCACAGGTTCTCACAACCAACATAGCATGAAGCTTCCTGCATACCAAGGGCTTCAGTCACAGCAACACATCAGCACACAGCACACGTGACCCCAGGAGTGAAAGATGCAGACAGGAGAAGCCCTGAGCAGGGGCAGCGGCAGCTAAGAAATCTCCATGTTCAACAATGTTCTGAATTTAAAGAAAACTCCAGGCGAGCTCTGGTGGCCTAGTGGCAAGAAGCTGCACTGCAATCTCAGAGGTACACGGTTCGAATCCACCAGATGCTATGCTGGAGAAGGAGGAACAATCTCCTCCTGTATCAGTCAGATCTGATTTGACAGTACACAAAAAAATAATGAAATAAAATAAAAAAAAATTTGAAAAAAAAAAGAAAACTCAAAAACTTCAAACAAACAGACTCTATGATTCCCCTTCAATATATACACTTTGAGGTAATAAAGACTAACTAAATGGTTAAAAATAATGAGGATATAATAAACTCAATAGTATTACCTTTGTCAAGAGTAAGAATTCCTGAGCGATCTTCTACATTGATCAGGCCTACACCGATCAATCCCTGTCGAACATCTGGAAGAGAAACAGCCATGAATTCAAATGCCTCAACAAGCTCCTTCCTGTAAGTGCCCAAGATCAAATTCTGACAGAGCAAAATCTTACAGGCCTCCAAGTTTCCTTTGCAATAGTAGTTAATAGTAGTTGGAAAGCGGCTTACTCTTGTTACCCAAACCCCACAAGCGCCGAGTTGGTTCTACTCATACACTGACCCCACAGAACAGCCAAGCTGTCCAGAGGGCTTGCTACTGCTCAGAGTTCCCAAGACGGTCCATGGTACTGAAACAGACCACCTACATGTTCTCCCGTGGAGTGTCTAGTGGGCTCAAACCACTGACTTCTTTGTTAGCTGCACAAAGTCTACCCCACTACCTTGTGGTGAAGTGTCACTGAGTTGGAACCAACTCATAGCTGACTCTCCCGTGAGTCTTTAAATCACATGAGGCACTGAACCCCCAGAGGGAACTGCCTATCTTTCTCCTGCACAGCAGCTGGTGAATTCTAACTGCGTGCCTGTGTGGGCAGCACAGCTCCTAAGACTCAAGAATCTGAAACTGGAAGCAGGAAACAGGACGTGCACCTATTAGACAGCTAGGTAAGAAACATGTCTCCAATGGTACCTATTGCAACTCATAGGGCAATGCACACAATGGAACCGTATGTGTCACAGTCACAAAGTTTAGAGCCATGTTACTTAAGTGGGCAGTTCATGGAAGCCTTAAAAAAATCACTAATGTCCAGGCCCCGACTCAGTGGAACAGATGACAGGTGGGAGGAAAAGGGCCAAGGTTTCCTGTTTAAATGCTGTCAGTGATCCTATATTCTCCTAACTCAAACGCAAACCTACTGCCATTAAGTCAAAACCAAGCTGAGCTTCCAGTGAGTTTTTGGAGCCCACGGGGAAGGAGACTGTCCATCTATCTGCCTCAAAACCATTGCGGGACCTGAATTAACGACAGGCATTATTGCCTTTGACCAAGCAGCACAACTCCCTCGAGACCAGGCCACTTGAGTTCCCAGCTCCCTGTGCTACGTCCAGAGTTCTAGGTGCAGGACCAAACTGACACAGGAACTAGAAGGAGAGATAGGAACCTTGGGGAGCAGTGAGTTTATTAGTTAATGACAGGGGACGACTAACTCTCAAAAGGAAGGGGAGAATGACTGCACACTTAAAGACTGTTATCAAGGTCACTGCATCACAGATGCATAAACTCTAGAACTGGTCTGTGTCCCACTGTGAACAGTCTCAAAACCAAAGCCATCTACAAGAGAACAAAAGGAAGAGCACATAGTGGAGGAGGCCAGGTGCACACTGGCAGTGGTCTTGCCCCACTTGCTGGCCCTTTGCTGCAATTACCTTTAAAGAACTCCCCGGGGTACTCAGGAGGTGGCGAGACCAGAGGAGAGTCTAGGTTTACAATCGATTTCATGACGATCTCCAAGGCGTTTCTCCCATACTAAAATGGAAACAAACAAAACCAAACCACAGTGTAGTAGCTTTTCAACCAGGTTTAATCCTCTTCAGCTCTCTATGCCGACTGCTGTCGAGCCGTGATTTGTTCACAGCCGACCTGAGTGACGAGCGGGCAGGTTCTTTATCTTACTGGAGAACTTACCCCTGACTAGCTCACAGGTAGTGACTATGTTCTCACTTCGAGAGAAATAACAATCCCAATCTACTGCCCCACTGCCCACCTTCTGTAACTAAGGGAGTCTGTGGAGTCCTTAAAAGCACGGGTGTCCACTGCTAACCTAACCCTAAGCCAGGGTCCTACCCAGCCTTACAGAGGAGGATGCGAGAGGGCCCTTCCTCGCTGCTACATGCTAAATCTATGAAAGGAGGTGGTTTGGAGTTTCCATTACTCGGTAGGCAGTGTCCTTTCTTGTCCCTTCCTATCAAGAGGAAAGCCTTACTCCACACACATCTGTCACCCCGACACCACACAGCCCAAGTGCTGGAGACAAAGAAAGCAGAGCTGTACCTTATTGTCAAAGTTGAACCTGCTCAGATCACGGGACTCAGTCGCTCTCCGGTCCCCGTGCGTAAGTGCCCCCTACAGAAACAGAGAAACTCAGATGCTGAGGTGCCTCCTACCAAAACAGAGAGGACCCCACCAGGGGGAACTGCCCCTATCAAAACAGAGAAACCCCTTTCACATGTATATAACCCCTGCAGAGACAGAAGCCCCAGTCAAGACCCAACCACCATCCGAAGACTCAAACCACCTGAGCAGTTCACAGCTCCACACTCACCAAACTCTCCAGTCTCTTAGCAACGATTGAGGCAAATCTCTGCTCTCCGGCCAACTCGGAAATCAGGAAGACATATTCAGGAGCAGTAACTTGATTGGATCTATGAGTCCGACCTGTAAAAAGATGGGTGAAGAGTCACAGATTGTACCCCTCAGATCAAGACCCACTCCCAGCACTCCAACACTAAACTATATTCAGAAAAGGGCAAGAAGCATTTATTCTAACTCTCAAAAGTTAGGTGACCCAAACTGGCTTGAACAATATCCACACTTGTAACAGCGCTCCCACAAGGAAAAAGAAACGGCCTTAACATAATAAAGGGTCCAGAACGGCTCCTGGATTGGCAATTCTGGTAAGCTATATCCCAGCTGAACGGAAACTCTGGTTCCAGTTACCACGGGGATTGACCTATCACTTTGATCACAGGCACAGCAAGTTGGGCATGAAGGGCGATATGATGTATCCTCAGTGGAACCACAAAGAATGGGACAAGCAGGACAGGGATCCAGCTGCTACTTGGCCTGGCCTGTGTGTCCCAAAGAAGTTCTTTAATGGAACTGGCTGCCAGAAGTCCTGTACAATCCCTCAGCAGATTGGCCCTGAACTCACTGAAATGGAAGCCAAGAAAGCTTACCAAATTGTTGGATTGCCCGGTCAGCGCTCCAGGGTAATTCCAAAGTCATATGAACTCTTCTTCGTTGATTTTTAGCTCTCCGATCTGCTTGCAATGAAATACCTGAGCTGGCAGCTTCAGAGATGATGGCAATATTCTGTATCAAAAGCCAGGTTAAAAAAGAAATCACTTGAACACCCATGTTTATCGCAGCTTTGTTCACAACAGCAAAGAGCTGGAAACAACCTAAGTGCCCAACAGACGAATGGATAGAGAAGCTGTGGTATATTCACACAATAGAATACTACGCTGCATTGAAAAACAAGGAACTCATGTAATATTATTTAAAATGAGTGACCCTGGAGGACATTATGCTGAGTGAATTATCTCAGTCATTTGTGACAAACACTGCCACTGCTGTAAAAGAGGACTGACATCGGGTTTGAGGGGAGACTGAGAAAGAGGGGATAAATTATGTATGCTGCATTGAAACAGATGAGGGCGAGAACTGTTTAAAAGGAACATATGATTAGGTATTACTGTCATGACAGGATCCAGAATGAAGGCAGCAAAGTGGAGTGAACTAGGGGGAGGGATTGTATAACAATGAAAGAATTTTTCTTTTACTTTTTTCTAAGAGAAGAGCGAATTAGGGGAGAGGTTGGGTAGGGAAAAAAGTGCAACAATGAATGAATGGAAATCTGAAGTCTCTGTAAACGTTCATTAAAATTAATTTTTTAAAAAAAGAGAGAAGCAATGTGCAGGGAGGAGGCATAAGTGACTCTGTACTTTCTGCACAATTTCTCTGTAGACCAAAACCTGCTCTAAAAATAAAGTTTATTTTTAAAAAAGTCTTCTAAAGTTTTATCAACATTTAGAAGCTGTTGTTATCACCCCAAAACATACCTTATCTCCATCCATAAATCTCTGTTTTTCTGTGATGTTTAGTATCTCCACAGGCACATCAAGTTCCGATCTTGACTCGTAGGATATGCTTCCGTCGTCATTGCTCACGACCCTGCCCTTGCGGCCAGTCATCTGGAAAGGCAGTGGACAGCACCTTCTTAGTCAGTGTCCGATAAAGGGAGGCAAACTCTCCTGAGAATGTCCCTAGGGAAATGTCCTAGAGAAATGTGGTGGGAAACCAGAGTGGCTACCAAAGGGAGTACTGACTCAGTGACATGGACTCCAGCAGGCTTGTGGGTTACAGACCACTGCAATTCAGTCTAACTCTTAGAGGTCTCAACTCCCAATGAAGCCAAAAGACACGTCAATAATCACAAGTACTGCACGGCAGACAGCAGGGACAGAGATGAGGAGCTGACACTCACTAAGAGAGGGGGAAACAAAGAAACCAGTGCGCCTCAGAGGAAAAGACGATAAAGCTTCATCTCACATACTCTGGGCATGGTGCAAGGAGAGGCTACCCCTTGGAGAGGACATCAAGCTTCGAAAGGCAGAAGGATGGCAAAGAGGGGAAGATCCTCAACCAGGTGGACTGACACAGTGACAACACCAGTGTGTGTCAGAAAGGCACAGGACAGGGTTTAGATCTGTTCTTTAAGGGGTTGCTATGACTTGGACTCAACTTGACAGAACCTAACAACACAACAACAGGAACACAACCAAGAAGCCATGTGGTGCGGTGCATAAACGCTCAACGGCTAAACAGAAGATTGGCGGCTCAATCCCACCAGTTGTTCCACCAGAGAAAAAGATGTGGTGACAGAGCCTAGGAAATGACCACGTCTACATACAGGGCTGCAGCCTGCACTCTGCTGGTGTTATCAAGATGTACAAATTGGTAATAGATGCAACAGCAATAAAAAGTATTAAACAATAAAAAGTGGTATTTTTTTCCCCTCAGAAAAAAGCTTATAAGTAAGTTTTGGGAAAATGATCCTTTACTTTAATAAGTCAGAGAAAATCCGCACCACACACCTGGTGGTTGTGGTTATTGACTGCCTTGGAGTCGAGCACAACTCATGGTGACCCTAGGAACAAAAGGCCTGAAGCCCCTCTACAACTATCGACATTTATCAAAGTTCATAAGGTTCCCGGAGGCACGTTGTTTAGGAAGTGGATGCCCCTCCTGCTTCCAAACCGGTCATAGTATGTTACTGTTTTTGGGGTGTGTTTTTTTTTAATTATTTTTGTGCTCGTGTACCATCAAATCAGATCTGACTGGTACAGGAGGAGATTGTCCCTCCTTCCCTGGCAGAGCATCTGGTGGATTCGAACCGTGCGCCTCTGGGATTGTAGTTGCAGCTCCTTGCCACTCGGCCACCAGAGCTCCCCTTTGTTACTGTTTTTATATGCCACTGAGTTGCTTGCGATGTATAGCGACCCTCTATAGTATTGGGGGGGGGGGAACGACACCTATAAAGGGGATGATGCAGAAGATGCCACTCATGCCACTGGCCTGGAAGTGCCAAGGAAGGCGAGGTCAGCCCTGCCTCCGGCCATGTTTACCTCAGCAACATTCTCAGGCCCCCCGAGCTCATCGATGAGTTCATCAAGCGTATTAGGCGGGAGGTCTTCGGCTAACTTTTCAAGTTTATCAAGCAGGTCTTTCTTCATCTGCTGGGCCCGCTCCACCGCGTCCTGACTTGTTATAAGGCTACTGTTGCTGTTAGCTGGATGAAGGACATTTAAGTCAGTACAAACTTTAAGCATTTGCTTTGTTTAACAGTACATTTCAGATGACACAAGCTTTCACAATAATACCTGGTGCACTGTTAGGAGCAGGCGAGATGACCGGCGTTGATGAGAAACTAGGCCGCTTGGATCCAAGACCTGATGCTAATAAGGCACTTTGAATAGAATCCGGGTCGATGCTCCTCTTCTTTTTTCTCTCTCTGCTCTTCTTGTGGTCTTTTCTGATTAACCAGGGATCTGAATGTGAAGGGGAGATGTGTGTCAAACCATCTGGCAGGACAGCACAGACACTGAAGAAACAATCCCTGCTGTGTAACTGCTATCGTGTTGGGCATCACTGACCACAGTGGTGGAGCACCTCTGTACCGCATGGAGTCCATGACTGAAGCACCGTACAGATGGGTTAAACCCTCAGGAGACAGACAAGCTGAGCCATCACGGTCAGCCAGAGAGCAGGACCTCTGCGATCCTTCCTCCTGCTCCCAACAGAAGCTCCTGCGACATCTACTCTCGCGCAGTACACGGAGACCCAGCCCCCTTTCCCACACACGCCCCACAAGCAAGCTGACCATCCTCGTCGTCCTCACTGGACTCGTCTCTGAACGGGTTGAAGTCGTCGTCATCTCCAGAGCTCATGTTTTTTGAGCTCTCGTAGTCACTTTCTTCATTCTCAGAGGCGTCAGACTCACTGCCACTGTCATCAGAACTGCTTCCCGTAAGGCCACCCACTTTCCGGGCTTTCTTGGCTTCACGAGTTAATTCTTCACCTGTCACCGAGACCCAAAGGGAAGAGTCAGTCCAGACTGGCTCCATGATATCACAACAGTTCTCGAGGTGACACAAACAGGAAGTACCAATAAAAAGCACTTACATGACTATATAAAAAATTTAACATTCACCAAAAGGGTGGTAACTTGTGGACAGGCATGAGAAAATTGTTTATTGTTCAATTATCCCTAAGAAACCAGATACAATCAGTAAAAATGCAAGACCAACTTTAAGTGCTCCTGTCTTAAAAAAAAAATACAACTTCTTAGCTGCTGGCATGCTAATAATGCAGTAACTTTTCATTAGACTGTTAAAGGGGACTAATAATTACGTATTTAGAGACATACTCGTTGTTACTGCATACCAGCTGAGCCTCCAGGGGATTTTCAGAGGCCGTAAACCACCCAGGAGGAGAGTGCCCAACTTTCTCCCCGGGAGCTGCGAGCTACAATAGAAGCTGCAAGCCGTCCGTCTGGGCTGGCCGCACAGCTCCTGACCGACCACAGCCTGGCAGGTGTAGTCTGTCGTCTGGGGCTACTTCAGGTCTGAATCAACTGGACGGCAAACAACAACAAATGTAGAAAAAACTACAGAAAGGCTTCATCTTCAAAGGTCAGACAAGGAGCTGATTAGAGTTATCTCACTTGATAAGTCATTACGTGAAATGAATTAATCAAAACCAAAAAGAGCATAAAAAATGTCTGGTCTAGACGTTGTAATCGTGTTCTATCAGAACTCAGCCACAGCTGACCACCCAGCAAATTTTCAGCAGCTGTAAATCACACAGGAGGAGACTCTGTCTATTTCTCTCCCGTGGAGCCCTGGCAGATCTGAACTGCCTGCGTCTGGGCTGACCCCACAAGTTCTTACCACCTCGCCACCAGAGCTTACCATGTATTTCTGAGAAGAGAACTCAGGAAAGGAAACTGCAAAGGATGGGACCATTCAAACGTACCACTAATTCTAAAGAACATTACTGGTTTTTTATCACTGAAATAAATAGTACTACCGTCAATTAGAATATGACATCCAACTAATTTCTGGTATATTAAAGAGGAACACAGAGATTACCTTTAACAAAATGAGGTGAGTGTAACACAGTATGTTTAAAAAGTCAATACACAGCTATACAGTGAATCTTTGAAGTTTTCTATGCAAGCTACAACTGTTTTAGAGAAAGGCTGTTTTAATCACTGCTAGACTCTTAATTTATAGCCACTCTGATCACAACAGGGCTGTGACACAGCTGCCAGAGCTCGAAGTCACCACAGAAGCACACTGCCTCATCTTTCACTGTTCCAGGGGCAGCTGCGAGGTTCAGACGGACAACCGTCAGTGGAGTAGCCCCTACCCAAGGCCAATCCCACAAGGGCATTCTATTTCCCGAACACAGCCATTTTAAATGCTTCAACCTATACTGACTTTAATATTAATGATGAAAGAACATCACCTACCTTTCCGCTTTTTTATTTTATTTTCTTTACAAGGACTGTCCCTTGGAGAGCTGTTGTTACTTGGAGCTGTCAGATCTATTCCTAACAAACTATAAAGTTTTTTCCGGTCTGGAGCAGGGAAGTGCTTTTCGATGAGTGATTGCAACACTCCTCTGTTGGGGGAAGAGAGAAACAGTGACAATTGTGGTTGGTCTGTAGAACAGTATGCTGCAATGCTTTCCGTGCACTCCTATGAAGAGTATACAGACTGCCATGTTAAATGCTTAGTCCAAGCCTACAAAACGAACGCCCTTCCCAGGCCAAGCCTGGCTAGCAGAAATGGTGTCAGTCAAATCTGCTCTATAATATAAATCACAGTAAAAAAAAAAGTTTTAAAAATAAAATACACACAATTGATTCTTTCTAACAGTAATACTAAAAAGTAAAAAACAAGTGAAATTATAGTAATACGTCTTATGTACATCTATATATCATCTCAACACCTAAGTACTAAATGTTTCACGTTGGGGGTTGGCCTGTATCTGCCAGCACGTGACCGCGCAGCATGCTGGGCTCTTCACTAAAGCTGCGGTGCAGACTCATGCTGCTGGCGGCCTCTCAGCTCCAGACACACACACCTCAGCAGGGGGACGTCTGGCTTTTCCGAGGTGGTTTCCACCTGATTCACCTGAGAAGGACTAACCTGAATGCATATCCTGAGACCTGAGCAGTGAGCCAAACATTGTGAAAAAGCTGCCTCATACCGATTTTAAAACATTTTTTGGGTATTTCATGGGTATTTCCATGCTTCACATTAGACTTTATGATTGGGGCAAATTGGTTTCTGCTCTGACAGATCACTGCGATTTTTAAAACAGAATTCACTCACAACACTGGAATCCGTGGATTGCAGAGGGCACAGACAATCAAAATCAATCCCTGCCATTAGCCCAAGAGGACTGGGGGCTCTGCAATGATGGCTTTCCAACAAGTTCAAACGCACACAGGAAGGCATAAAAGCAGGCGAAGGACAACCTGTAAAGGCCACTGAGTCTAGCTGAAATGTGTGCCTCTAGAGAAGGTCAACATTTGAATTAACTTAAATATCAAAAAGAAAACCAGGAGACATTACTTAGCAGTTGAGACAAAATCATTCAGTTCTCCTCCACCCTCTTCCAAGGCTTCTAAAGTCCTTGCTTCTCCTGTGGACTGCAGGCCAATGACAACACACTAGAAAACACAGCAGGGAGAGGAAAGAGAACAAATTCCAGGGTTAAGGATCATTCATTACTGTCCTACATCTATATGGTCACTGTTCTAAAACATCAGCCAAGACTTACTACGCATCAAGAACTTAACGTGGAAAAGGGATGATGGTGTGAACAGGACTAGAGCCTCCACACAAGCCCACGGCCCTTTTGTTTCCTACTCACCCCAACCCAAAAGCTCAATGTAAGACACTTTCATGTAATCTTTGAGGTCCAGGAATGTTTATATTTTTTAATCAATATTTTCCTCTTCACATTATCTTAGCAAATCTTAATAAGGAACACCTTAAGTCTTATCTGTTGTTTTTAAAAAGTATTTTTACCACGAATTCTTTCAAGAGATGACTTTAAAAGTCAAAGACCTCAACATCTATAAATAAGCCACCTAAATGAAGGATGAATCTGTTCACCAATTCCCCAACAACGTACTTTTCCATTCTTGATTTCTTCTCGAGCAAGCTGCACAACTCTCTTCACTTTGGAGGCTATGCACAGGTATTTGAAAAACCTCTGGTGTGCAGACCAGAACTGGCCCCACATGGACTTCTTCATCCGCTGTTCAGCCTCAATGAGCTCTGCCGCTTGCTGAAACCTCTCTCTGGCAATCACCCACTGAAATACAAAGGCCACGCGCCACAGATTACATTTTTTGAGTGGGAGTTAAAAAAAAAATCAAGTCAACTGAAATAATGTTTATTACAGTTAACAGCCTTAATTTAATGAGACATCCTCAGTAGTTTAAACTCTTTTAAGTTTTGAAATACTTGCCAAAGACTGATTCTTTCAAAATTCTTAACTAATTTAAGCTTTTTAAACAAACAGTTCACTGGAATGGCAAAAATAATTATGCAGTGGGAGAAAAATGGTCATACAAAAATATTCAGATTAAAAAAAAACTAAAAAAAATAATTATATGAACAAATGAAAGCTTGAAAAGCTGCATTTAAAAGAGCAGAGACGCCACCTTCTATTTTGTAGGTAGTCTATACTTGTGGAGGGATCACAGACACACTGAACCATCCAATGAACAGGTGGTAAAGGGCACATTAGGAAAACTAGGAATTAAGAAAGTCCTTACCAGCTTGACTGCTTTGTTATACATCTTTACATAGTTCTGAGAAAGAAGAACTTCTTCAATTTTGAAGGTCACTCCAGTAAAGCTCAGCTGTCGGGCAATGTACATCCCTCTAAGCTTCATATCCATAGCAACTATCTCCATGGCACCAACACCTCTGAATAAAATGAAAACACATAGTAACTATCATGAAATATGGCAAGAGCTTAATGTACAGTAAGGGGATTTAGCAATCTCTCCAGACCACTATTAAAAGAAAGTGTATGCAAAAATGAACGAATGAATGAATGGAAATCCAAGTTCTCTATAAACTTTCATTAAAATCTCAATTAAAAGGAAGAAAGAGGAAGTGTAGACTGGAAATGTATTACCTTCGCTCGACGGCTTGAATGAAATCACTGAACTCTCTAAACGGCGTGCCCTCGCCCCATATCCCGAGACGGTTCATGTAGGCCATGTTGCGTGGCTCGGACGCACCTGAGGACAAACACTCCAAGTGAGGCCTCTCACGGCTGCGACAAAGGGGCTCTGAATGTCTCTTCACCTAACAACTACTTACCAGTGGCACTTGCATAAACAACTCTGGCTTTTGGCAATTTGTTCTGAAGCTCGAGAACTGCTAAGCCTGTCTTGGTTGGCTTTGAAGAGCCGACAGGGCACAGATTCTTCGCTTTGTGACATTCATCGAACACAATCTATGAAGAACAAGTTAAGGACTACTTCGCAGATGCAGGAAGTGTTACCAATAAAAGAGTTAACGTTTATTTCCCAGCAACCTTGGAAACATCCAAGGTCTGTGGCGAGTTAGCCTTGGGAAACCATTCAGGGCCAGCCATGCCTGGGGCCAGGGGGGTGCAGCTGATAACAAATCCCAGGGGACCAACCTGTTAAAATCAGTCACCTGCTCACTTTGGCTTTGTCACACTGAAAACATTTTGCCCTATTTGCTTCAGATCCTTTCCACCGCCAAGAAGGCACTGTGGGCACTTAACTGGGACCAACCCCTCCTGCAGCCTCATGTCCACTTCATCTCCACCAGGCAGTTCACTCCTAGGTGGAGGGAGGAAAGCGCCCACTTCACCGTCACGTGAAACGCCTTCCACAGTAGGCATCTTCAGGCACCTCATCCAAGAGGGACAGAATCATCAGGGTTGGAAACCATGCTCGGAGTCTGTCTGTGGGTGGCTAAACCAAGCCAACTGCTTACTTTCCCCCAGTTTTCTCAATTATCTTAAAGCATGAACCCTCCAGACAAGAAAAGGGTATGTGTAACACTGAAGGAGTATTTTTTACAAAATGAGAAAGCAAACTGGGGGCAGGAGATAGGAATGAAAATCCAAGTTTTCATTAAAATCACAATAAAAAAACAAAATAAACAAGAAAAGATTATAATGTTCAGCTTTTCCCAGAATATCAACATTTTCTAAACCAGAACTTAAAAAACCTGTCTCTTATAGTCTAAAAGTATTATTATTTTTATCGTAGGAGTATGCAATGAGGGTTGCAGAGTGGATTATATTTGGGGGTGGGGGATGGGGTTTGGGGAGGTGCGGGGGGGACTGTGTACCAATGAGGGAGTTTTTCTTTTGCTTTTGAAGGAGAGGAGCAAATGGGTGGGGGGTGCGCGGGGAGAAGGGTGCAAAAATGAATGAATGGAATTCCAAAATCTCTGTAGATGTTCATTGAAATGAAAAATAAACAAACTAAATTATTAAAAAAAGAACAAACCCGTCTCTTATACATGCCCAGTCCACAGGAAGGTGCACTGCAACTCAAAGGTCACGCCTCTGACAGTTCAAATACCAGAGGAAGGATGGGTGCCTCTTTCCACCCGATCTTCAGCTCTGGAACCCACTAGTGGGTCATCTGTGAGTCAGTTCCAACCCAACAGCTATGAGAAGACGACACGTTGACCACCAGCCTGGTAAACCAATCAATCAGGGACCTGAGCCTATCCAACCGCCCCACGGGTAAAAGATGAATTGTCTTGTCCGTGGCTTGATGGCCCTAGAAACCCTAGATGGGGCTATTCTTCTCTGTCCTACAAAGTGACTGAGTCCAGTCAACTCAACAGGTATGGGTTTTGGTTTTATATGATAGCTGCAAAGTAAAACCTACTTTTCCACTTCCTTACAATCTCTGTAATCATGGAAACTCTTAGACGAGAAATTTAATTTCACAACCAGAGACAAGAGCATGGGAAGATGTTGGTGGCAATGGGTACAACTCTAGGACTGCTTTCCCATTCAACAATTTGCATTCTGTGTGTCAGTGTTTGCAATCCCCACAAGGACGCCATTTCTGTATCCCCATTCCTGTATCTTCTTGGCTTAAAGGTTTATTCTTGGGGCAAACATGGCCCTTTTTGACGGTAAGGAGTGTTGCCGCTCACGCTAGAGACCTGTCTTTGAGCTTAAAGTTAAGACTTACTGGGTTCACAGATGCTTGGATATATCTTACTTGCCTTTCTGGGAGGTTTTGGGGTCTAAAGATCCTGTTCTTTTGGTGCGTTTCTTAATTGGGAAATTTAGAATCATGGAAAACTGGTATTAGCAGAAACCAGGGGCAATGGGAATAAGTCTTTTAGGGGTCTCTGGATACTCTGGGAGGGGGAGGAAAGGGGTTATCTTCACCTTGACAAAGGGAGCCTCTGACCACTGTTAAACTTTAAATTTGATTTTTTAAAATAAAACTGTATTTGGGGGAAAAATTTAATTTCAGGATTTCTGCTTTCCAAAGATTTCTCCTGACGTCAATTCCGTTATCATTAAAAAACTAAAAACCACTTGTTAAAAAGGATACCACTCCGTCGAAATCATCGCCACACCAGTGCAGAAGCTGTTTTAACCTGGTCTTGTACTTGCCGCCGGACTGACTTTCTCCAATAAGCGAAGAATAGGTGGCAAAAATAACGCCCTTTTTCACACTGCCATTATGCTTGGAGGAGATCTTTCCATATTTAAACTGAAAAAGAATATACAATTTAAGAAATCATTTCCCCCACACACTCTTAAACTTTCTACACATTGCAGGAATTCTTAACCTGTTTGGTCCCTGGTGTGTGTTAGGAAACTCAAAGGACCTTCTGAAAATCACATTCAAGCAGGTATAAGAAAGTCACATCATTCAATGTACAACATTTCCCGTGAAATCGGCTCTAGGACGAGCTCTGTCCGTCAGTTCTGAGGGTTGAGGAAGGCTGGCGAGTCAAAAACGCCAAGGTGGTGTTCTTCAATAATACTGCTTGGGAAATCAAAGCAATTCTAGAGACCAGGTACATGCTCTGAGGTTCTGTACCATTTGTGATTATACAAGACACAGGTATTTAACCACCAATCCACTCGGTAATACCTGTCCAAAGTGCCCCCGAAGAGGCTGGCAATCCTGAAGCCATACAGCGGCATCTGGAAAGCAGGCACTGAGGGCCCAAGAGATGGACTCGACTATCTCGCCAACTCTCACTACCCCAGAAGCAGGGGTCACTGAAGATTTGCTAAGTAACTCTAATTTCATGAGTGTGCATGAAAGACAAAGATGCATCTGCTTCCATTTTACAGATCACTTTAAGAGAAACGGAAGTGCTAGTCTAAGGCCATTGAGTAGAAAAGTATGTGACCTAGCCTGTAAAGCACCTCCTCCCATTCTCTATGAACAGGACCCCAGGGGACTTCCTAGCAGCAGCGCACGGCCTAGTCACAGAGCTTTATTACAGATTCTCTTTCTGTCCATAATGCTCAACTGAGTAATTTTAGCCCTTTGAATACTTCAGAGACTGAAGGTGGAAAGAAGAAAGCTCCCTAACAAGAACTATGCCTCTTCTCGGAGCCTCTACAGAACACAGCCCAGTGCACACTTACTTACCATCTCCTCCCCGTGAACTGGCTCATTTCAGCCCTGCTCAACCCAACCCTATCAGACAGAAACCACCAGTGTTTCCAGCTCCAGAGAGGAGCCAGCATTCATCTCCATACCTTATTCAACGAATGAACCAAAATATTTTTGGCGCCAATATCCCTCAAGTCTCTTTCAGCATCATACTTTAAATCATTTGAAACACTGAACCTGCCAACAAACCAAGAAGAGGGGAAAGTTAATGACCGGAAAATCCCCGCGCCCCGGGAAGCAGCTGCTCAGCAGCACCTCTCGGCCGGCCCCTGCACTTACCAGAGCGCTCTCTTCCTACCGAGCAGGTAGTTCTCGTAAATGACGCCCGCGATCGTCCTGCCTTTCCCCACACCCGCACCGTCCCCTATTAAGAAGCCAGCTCGGTCTCCATTAGGTAGGAATGTTTCATGTTGCTGAAAAAGAAAAGTTGGGGGAAAATTTAATTATGCAGATAAATGCTAGAGAGAAAACTAATCTTGCAGTTATTTTGATGACTAGATTTTCCTTAATGTGCTCAAACTTCCTTAGCCACTAAGTGGGGAGGGTAACCCCCACAAACATCATTATAAATATGTTATTACCCGACAAGGTCCATAGTATAAACACCGTTTGGTCAAAGGATAGATGTATTTTTAACTTCAACAGACAGGAAGGCATTGCCTATAATTATGCTCTTTTTCTTTTAAAAAGTTTTTGTAACACTTTTTGAAATGTAAATTTCATGAAAACAAAACTTACACTTGTATTAAACAACTCTATTGCGTGAATTTGGCTGCCGCAGGTGAAAGGGTCTGCTTACCTGGGCTGCATAAGTAACTGCCTCAAGCTGTAATGCTGACAACCAACCACTGTCAATGGTCTCCTCAGAAATGGACGTTCGGTACCAGACATCAGGAGGGGTAACACTGGATAAAGAGCTAGTTTCCACCACAGCATCCGGATGGCGCAGGCCAATTTTTACTAAATGAAAATAAAGCAGCATTAAGGGTTAATTACTCCAAATAGTGACTTCCCCGTTTTATTAGAAGGTACACTATTATTCCTACAACACATACACACAAAAGTAAACATACATCCCTGTGAAGTCACTAACGATCAAGTACTGACACTTTACTAGTCTAGTTAAACACATTTGCTGATTTTAAAAGATCAATAGCAACCAGTTTATATCACCACATTCTCCAACATTCCATGAAACAAAAGTATGAAGTATGAGTAATTTTACCATAAAAGAAAAATCTGGCTATAAAATTGAAAGCCAACTTTCAATTGTTGTTCCTTAATATTTTACAATGTGGCTAGGTAAATGAAGGTCAGGTAATTATTTGCTGTTTGGGAGCCATCCAGTCTTTCCACAATGATCACTGCAGCATTTTATCAGCAAAGGCAATAAAGAAATATACATGGTTGTACTCCAGGAAATCTTCATTTACAAAAGTGGCAGAGAGGGGAGGTCTGGTGGCCTAGTGGCAAGAAGCTGTACTGCAATACCAAAGGTACGTGGCTCAAATCCACCAGATGCTCTGCTGGAGGAGGAGGAGCAATCACCTCCTGTACCAGTCAGATAAGATTTGACAGTACACACACAGAAGATAATAAAATAAATTGTTAAAAAAAGTGGTGGAGAAGGCTCTGAGTAAAAGGGCCTTGGAGAAGCTCAATTGTTTGATGTAGAAAACAACTTGGGGGGGGGGGGAATCCATGAAGGAGGATGGAGTATGCACGTGTAATTAAATTTTCAAATATTCTATTCCAAAGCTTCTTTTAAATGATTAGAAAATTATGGAATCTTGAGGACCAAGCATAGCTGGTAACAAAATGTTAAGTTGAATGTTACCATTAGTATATTCCTATAGAAAACTAGAATATATAGAAGACAGTCAAAGCATAGATCACCTTACTGCTATTATATATGGGAAAACTGACGATTTTTAAACTAAACAGTATTTCAACGTTCTATAGCCAATAAGAGACATCATCCTCAGGTAAAAATGTAGAAAAGCATTAACAAAAAAGAATAGAATCAGGCAACATAGCAATCTTAAGATTCCAGTTTTGTTTTGTTTTTTTAGTTTTATTATGTGTGTGTGTGTACCGTCAACTCGGATCTGACTGGTACAGGAGGAGATTGCCCCTCCTTCTCCAGCAGAGCATCTGGTGGATTTGAACTATGCACCTCTGGGATTGCAGTGCAGCTTCTTGCCACTATGCCACCAGAGCTCCCTAGATTGCAGTATTTTAATGATTTCTTTTTTGTAAATGTAAAAATGAAGATTTTTTTTGAAATATACTTCTACAATTTGCTGATTTTAGAATTATTTTTAATTTGTGCAAAATTCAATCAGAAGAAAATCCATACTGGTCTGTTTAAGAGCCTTCACCTTAAGCAAGGTCCTAAATATCCCAGGAAGCACAGTTAAATGTTCATGGGAATACTTAGAAACTTAGCCATTTAAAGACTGTATTACAGCAATCATACTTGTCAGATCCTATGACACTCAATTGTGTGTTATTAAAGTGCAAGTAGAGCCCAGACACCTCTCAGTATTTTATCAAATTCCACAGACTTACATTTTATAGGCATGTACTCTGCATAGGTTTCTGCATGACCCATTTCTTCTTCATCTTCTTCTTCTGGTTCATCTTCCTCTTTCACAACAGGGACCTTCTACAACACAGAAAATAAAAGCTTCAATTCAAAATACAGAGAGTACAGGCCCACAGAAACTCCCATCTAGGCACCCAGTCTGAAGACATGGAAGGGCTATAAACCACTCCAAGAGCCGCAAAGATCTGGTGCCATGTGCCCATGGTGACAGAGAGAATCCCTGCTACCTCTCAGCTCTTCTGGGAATTGGTCCCCACAGGCTGCCCTCCCTTCCAATCACCACCATCTCTCACTACAGCTCCAGGACTAGAAGACCAGAGGTGAGGGGAGAAGAGTGGACCTGCCTTCTCAGCACACCCTCCAACACAAGCTCATGGGCAGAGCTCACATCTCCCTTATTGCAGTTCACCTCCTCTGGTCTTTGGTCTCCCAGATAATAAAATCCAAATCCTGGGAAACCCTGAATTTCAAGAGTTCTTCTGAAAGATGGAAATGTAGTCCAGAATTCTGTGTTTTCAGACAATTTAACTATCATATGTAGAACAATTATGTCACATGCCTTCTCACTTTGGCTCACTTGAGTAAAAATCAACAAGTATTAAAAATGACACTAAGAAAAACAGGAGTAAACCCAGACTGTCCTGACACTGGATGAACAAGCACCATGTACTTCTCCTTTAAGGACCCTTAAGAGTCACATGGGAGGAGACTATGCAACAATGAAGAATTTTTTTTTTCAAAGAAAAAAGCAAACTGGGGGGTAGGGAGAAAAATGTGCAACAATGAATGAATGGAAATTCAAGTTCTCTATAAATACGTTAAAATCTCAATTAAAATAAGGGGGGGAGTCACATGTCATATTAGGGAGAAATGACATTTTAAAGTGAGAGAGCCCTCCACGGGCCTCTTCCGCACGACTAGCAGAGTTTGTCAGGAAACTCTTGGTATCATGGCTTTGTTCATAGAAGAGGCTGGAGAAGCAGCTCTGAAACTTGGTACCCAGTGAAAAGAAGGGCCAAGAGAAAAGCTACCGGAGACAGTGCTGTCAGCGGACAAGCTCACCACGCCTCTTCACCTCAAGAGACTAGGCCATGGAGGGCCAGTTCTCAAGAAAATCAATATTCAGAATTAAAAGTCAAATGAAAAAAAAAGAAAAAAAGAAAAAAAAAAAAGTCAAATGAGATCTTCAGCTTTAGAAGCAAGACAAAACGGAAACAGACAAAAAAACAGATCTGCACTCCAGTGCAGCCACTACTCAGCTGGGCACCCTGGGCCATGGCTGCTTGGGTCCCACCTCCTCTACCTTCTCTCTTTGATCACAGGAATGAAAGCAAACAGAACCAACATCCATCCTTCCCTCTACCCCAGCCCGACGTGTCACTAGAGGCTAAACTGGTAAAACTGAAGGGCTCCACAACTGCAGAACCACGTGCGGAAAGCCAGCTGGATGTGACATGGCAAGTGACAGGAAACCTTTGGGTCCAGGGAGACACTGGAGGTGTGTGGCCAGGGTGAATGGGACCACAGGTCCACGCCTCATAAAAAGGCCCATGGGCTGCCAGCTGCTATCAGATCCCAATACAGAACTTTAGGTATACTACAAGTGTATGCTTTATGGCTATTGTTGCTCCCTGCCTGTGGGCTACAGTGAGCACTATATAAAGCTTGGCTTGGGGAAAAAGCATTCAACGACGCTGAAATCTCTGATCCCGAGGAAGCACTGAGCATGGAAGCGTCAAGATAGCTGGACACTGCCAGGTCCCCGCACAGGGCAGCTCTGCTGCTCACCACCTAGGGCCTCCTGCTCCACGTCCTAGGACGCCTTTCACACAGTGTCAACGAGCCTTCCCTTCTTCCCTCCCCTCCTTTTCCAGTCCCTCTGCAAGAACCCGAGGTCCCTACTTTCTTTCTGGATTACTAGATAACCTCCCATCCTTTCCTCCCCTCAACCTCAACCTCCTAACAAACTACTCTGTTCCCAGGACTCAAGAATGTCATACCAAGTCCAAAGTCCTTCAAGCAAAATTCTGACATCCCCAGACTCAGAATCTATTACTTCAACTTCTTACTAAGCCAAGGAGACTGGCTATTGTCACTTAAGCCAGATTTTACTGTGTCCAAGTCACCTCCTGCTCTGTCCCTATTAAATTCTTCAGTCTTTTTCCTAAAATGGCCCCGTCAAAGTCTCACTACATTCAAAACTCAAGCTTCATGACATCTCCATAAAGCCTCCTCAAGCTGTTCAGGTCCACAGGGACCTTACCTTCTCCTAAACCTGCAACTCTTATTACGAGCAACACAATGGACTTCTGATCGACTGTGTAACCGCCCAGCCCACCTGGCTGTGAAATGCCAGGCTCACACTTTATTAGGATCTAATAGAGAAAATTGGGTGGTGTACTTCTTGTAGAAAAACTCATTATTCGGAATTGACAAACACAGCGTGCCTGAAATACATGTACAAGACCAATATCGACAGTCAGAAAAAACACACATAGTTTAAAATGCATAATTGCACCCAGACCACGGCATTCTGGGCATTATCTAAAATGAAACAGTGACCAAATGTTTTGGTCAATTCCACATGGTTTTGTTTTAGATTTCTTCTTATTCATTCAGACTTAAAGAAAAAGATGTTAGTGTTTTATAGAGCAACCACATCCTATAGACTATGCCAGGATTTATCGTCTATGTAACACGTATGTATTTATTTCCATGAGGTTTAATGCTTAACTCATGTAGCTGAGTGACTTGACCACTCACAGAAAGTGTCCTAAGGATTGTTTCAGAGAACTTCTGAAAGTGAAGTCAGTGTATTGATCTCATGCAACAAAGCGCTTATTCAAACTTACCACAGTTGGGGAAAAATTCACTTTCATGTCGTTGATCCATATTCTCGTCACGTCTTTATTAGAAGAATCCTTCTTTACTGTACCATTGCTTACATCAGCTGAGGGTGGGGCGTGTGAGGAAAAAAAAATCAATTAGCATGTTAGAATCTGCCTATTAGCGTAAATGAAGCTGAAGGATAAAAATATTCAAGGAATTCAAAAGAAAATTATATAGGAGAAATATTAAATTTCTCTATCAAAAGACATCTTAACAGAAAGAACTATGTGAGTTCTTTTAATACAAATCTCAAAAGCAGATCATCACTACTTTCAGATACTTTAATTGTTGAGTGTAGTAACACAATGAAGTGTGCAATCACCACCAAGAGATTCACTCTTACCTGATTTGATAGTTCCTACAAGGCAGAATGACACCTAGCTAACTTTTAAGGCAATAGAAACTCATCTTTCCAGAAGAGAAAATCATTCGCTACCTCCTTGTTTGCCCCTTTCCTTCAGACTAAAGGTCCAAATGCTGAGAGTCTTCCTGTCACTGACACTGGAAGGTTTCAAACTTTTTAAAACTATAGTAACAGAACTCTGGAGTCTAATCTTCAAGTTTGAGTGGATCGGGAGAGGAGACAGTTCCTTAAATAAAGGGCTAAATGTTTTCTTCAGTAAGTCAAAGACTCTAATACAGAGCAAGCAACTTTCCCTGACCTCTGAGCACCCCATGTTCCCCAGGAGCCCTCAGAGATGCTATCTTGCACCTCAGATTAAAGTTGATCCTACTTTCCAGAGCAGAAAACACTAAAACTAATTCAATGGCCTGGTGTCCTAGAAGAGGGGAGTTGATTTCCCAGCTAGTTTCTAGGTCCCAGGTGACAGTTCTGGAAAGAAAAGGACATGGAGAGGTAAAGCCCAGCTACACCACGAGAGCTGAATGGGAACAAGCCAAGGCCACAGAGGAGGTCCCCTGGAAACCACAATTACACCTGTCAGTGGAGTCCAGGTTAGTGCTGGAACATCTATAAACGTGTCCCATTTCAAACGCTCCTACTCCTCTACGTTACAAACAGAAGCACAACACAACTGCCAAGCAATCAGTTCTGGATCCAAACTGCATGTTGTCCTGTATTAGGATTAAAACTAATCTCCTCCAATCAGGACAGAAAAAGTGTGGAAAGCCGAATATCATGTTTAATATTAATAATAAACCAAATGCTTTATCAGGATATAAGGGAGGGGCAACACAAGCTGGAGTTCACCCTGAGGCACTAAAGCATTCCTTAAGAGTTAACGTCAAAAAAAAGAGTTAACATCATCCTTAGTGTGTATTTACTGAATCCCTCCCTCCTGAAATTAGCATAAGGTAAACAATAAAGAACTTATCTGCAAAAGACTTTCCCCATAATCCTTTGTTTTTATTTTCTACTCTCCTGTGAATATCCTTGGTTTATCTTCCCAATGATTCTCAAAAATACAGAGGCAGCGAGCTCTGGTGGCCTAGTGGTAAGAAACTGCAACTGCAATCTCAGAGATGCACTGTTCGAATCCACCAGATGCTCTGCCGGAGGAGGAATAATCTCCTCCTGTACCAGTCAGACCTGATTTGACGGTACACACACAAAATAATGAAATAAATTTAAAAAAAAAATACACAGAGGCATGGCTGGGGCGCTTCAGTCATGGAACTGCTGGCCCCGTCTTTTACGCTCTCTGTTCTATCTCATTTTCGGTCGTCTGTCTCATTGCTAATAATTATAAAAATACTTTACCCTCGGTCTGCAACAAAAAGGAAGACACTCTACCCATCATCTCATCCTGAGACTAACAGAGTGCTACGTACTTAACAGTACAAAGAATCAAGAATATGCTTCACAGGCCCATCTCAGAAAAAAAAAACACAATGACAGATAAGATTCTGAAGCTGGAGCTGAAACTAGAAACACAAGAGTTGTCAGCTAAGGCATGAGCTGAGGGAAGGGTCAGCTGCTCCAGCGGCACCTACCACGGAGGTACTGTTGGCACCTTTTAAAGGGGATGTGACTACTCAAACCCAATGGGAGGGAGAGGGAAAGAATATGCTACTTAAGAGCTGGTAACTTCTAGTTTCTAAAACCAAACCTGTTTAAAAGTTCAAAATATCCAAAAGAAAGAAAATTAATCAAAAAGAAACTATAAAGCCTGATTACTTCTACTCCACTCATTATAATTTGTGCTGTCAGCCTAAAGGCAGGCTCAATCCCACCAGACATCAAGGAGGCTTTACAGTGACGCTGTGAACACCACATCTGAACCTTGTCCTATATTCTGGGCCATCTTTATCTTCTCTGACACACCTGAGCCCACTGACACAGCCACTGTATCAATTCATCTCATCAAGGGTCTTCTTATTCACTAACCCCTCCATCCTTCCCAGGAACAAGATTCTACTAGCAATATGCTCACAGTCTGTGAAACAAAGCTTTGCCATCTTTACCTTAGAGGAGCACTTTCTCCAAGAGAAATTAAAACAATAAAAAGATAATAGTCTCAGCTCAGCAATAATTTCTTCATTGCTATCGAGTCAGAATCAATTCCTCGCAGACCTTCCGGTGGGCTTTCAGGAGCTGTAAATGGCCAGGCAGATGGCTGGTCTTTCTCCCAGGGCCACTGATGGCTAAGAACCACCAGAGAAGCCTTGGGGTTAGCAGCACATCTCCTTATGCACTTACCACAAGAACTCCCCACAAGCAATGGAGCTCAGTAAGGCAGTAAAGAACAATGCTAGAGAGGCTGCAAAGAGACTGGCAGATTCCAGTCCCATTTTATATGCCTCTAGCAACAGAAGCCAAGTTCAAGAGGAAGTAAACGACTAATGTTGGGGAGGATGTAGAGAGAACTTTCGCACACTGCTGGTGGGAATTTAAAACGGTGTAACCAATATGGAAAGCAATGTGCACTTCCTCAAAAAGTTGGAAAGTAAAAAAGCATTTGATCTAACAATCCCTCTAAGTACACATTTTAAAGAAATAAGAGTTAAGACAGGAACTGAGAGATGCACATTCATGTTCACTGCAGCATTCTTTACAACAACCCATGTGTCCAGGAAGGGGTGAACATTAACACACTAAAGAATGACAGCGTTCAAGAAACATCAAACAATAGAAAGGACTCGAGGACATCAGGCTGAGGTGACACATGTCAGTTACAAAAGGACAAGATTACAAAAAGCTCAAGAAAGGTTTGTATACAAAGAGTCATTCTTAGATGGTTAAAGGGGGGGGAGAGACAAAGGAACGAAAATTAACAAATTGTTAAGAGACACAATTATATGAGGCAACAAAAAGGCAACATGCAATAAGGAAACTGTTAAGTATCATGGTTACTACAATGCCACAAAACAAAGTGTGTATAAATAACGGAATTTTAAAAAATCTAATAAATAATTATAAAAGTAGTAAAATATACTTTAAAGAGAGAGGATTTACTAAAAAGAGCTATCCACAAGCAATTAAATCAGTAAGAGGTAAAATTATACAAGTGTGAAAAGCCGTAGGCAAAGGAACAATCAGTTTCAAACCTGCTCCCCAGAGTACAGGAGCGTGCTGTAAGGCACAGGGCACACCTCACCTCCTGGCTGCTGAACCCACCAGCACCTCTGAGGGAAAAAGCCACCCCCATCAATCTAGCCCGGGAAACGTGCCGGGGGAGTCAGGTATGGGTAGGTTCCAACTTGGCAGTAATGAGAGAAGACACCCAAAGTGTGGCTCAAGGACCAGCAATGTCACAGATGCAGAACATCAGGCTCTTCCCCAGCTCTCCTGCATTTTGTTTTTTACCAAGATTCTTAGGTAATTCAGACATGAGAGGTTGAAGAACAGTTCAAGAATGAAGAAAAGCATTAATTGAAGATCTCCTGGTACTAATTAATGTAACCTGACTCAAATCTTCTAAATTTTTATTTTCCTTGAATTGTTTAAGTAACTGTGGAAAAACTAATGTAGCTAGTAAGTCTTTTATGCTCCAACCCCACAAATACACCTTTTCTTATACACTGACACAGGTATTCCAACACCATATGAAATCTCCGCCTTGAATGATGATGGAAGCCCAAGTGAGGGTGCCCAGTATCAGCCAGGAGAAAGAGCCAGAGAGGATCTCACCCTTTGGGCCCAGTTTCTAGAATCAGGAGAAGCAGAAATAAGTCTCCTCCTAGCATCAGCACCCTGAATTCTCTTCAATGAGAATCCATTTCTGTTTGCCAAAGCCATCCACTTGTGGTATCTGTTACAGGAACACTTAGATAACTATGGAAACTACTAAAAAGTCCACACTCTGATAAGACAGTTGACTCACGAAAATGAAAACAGAACTTACTAGCTGCTGTTGCAACTGGCTGAGCAATATTAGCAGGTGGCTTCAGTTTCATGAGTTCATTGAGACTGTTATTTTTCAGTAAGTCCTTCAGCTGGACCTGGTCTTTAGGTGGTGCAACAGGCACAGCGCTTCGTACTGCTGGTACAGAGACCGAAGGGCGCGTGGCTGCACTGGTCTGGATAAACTTCGTCAACGTGATGGTTTGCCTATTAGTTGTCACAGGTGGTGTTTTAGTCATAACAATTGTCGATCCCAAGGTTGGAAGCTGATTTATTTGATTCAGCACAAATGTTGTAGTAGATGGCGGCTGTTGCTAGAAAAGAAAACACAACACAACAAATCACTGAGAAATGCTGTGTCCCTCTTGGGCAGGGCATTTGAAACGAACTCTTGCTTAACTATTAGCTTGTCACTGTTACTGAGTACAACTGAAAAAGTAAACCACTGCCATCATCCCAGCGCCCCTCCATCCAGTTCCTGAGGCCGTCCATCTGGAAGGAAGGAGACGGCCCATCGTTCTGCAGAACCGCAGAAACAGAAGAGCGCTTAACTGCATGACTGCCCCAATCGCCTCACCACACAAGGCCTGGGCTTTCTAGTCTAAAGCTCATTTTCCACTTTAATATTCTATCGACCTTTAAAATGTACAAAAGACAAAACCACGGAGCAGTTTTAAAATCCCTGTGTGTACAAATCATCCAGCCAGGTATACAAATGTTAGTAATGTGTGCACAACCTCTGAGCAGGAGACAAAGCTGGACAGCACTGAGTAAAGAAGCAGGATAAAATGCATAAAAAGTCAGGGTTGGAGAAGAACATTTCTGTGACAAGAAAACAACATATTCATTCATTCATTCTTTTTTTTTATTTGTGTACCATCAAATTGGATCTGACTGGTATAGGAGGCGATTGTTCCTCCTTCTTCAGCAGAGCATCTGGTGGATTTGAACCGCGCACCTCTGGGATTGCAGTACAGTTTCCTATCACTAGGCCACCAGAACTCGCCAAGAAAACAACATATTCTTATAAATCTAAGTATAAAATTTCTATAGCATACACTTCAAATTCTTCATTTCTCAATGACCTCTGGATTTTCATTTATCACATTTAAATAAAACTCTCAACAATAAATGTATCTTAAATTATCAAACTTTAACCAGCTGGGTTACTGATTTTATACCCCTACATTTAAAGCTGGGGCAATGGGATCAGGTGTGTCGGAGTCAGTGAGACTGTTTCAGGATATGGCAGGGTCGCTAGTCGCGGGCAACTCGATGGCACATATCAACAACATGTTTTAAGTATATTTCTAACCATCATTCTTTAACCAGAGGAGTTTTTGAGGAACAGTGAATTGATGTTAATGGCAGTGATAATGGTGGTACATACAACACAAAAATGTCATCAACATCACTGAATTGTAAATACTAAACTGCTCTTTGTAATAAGTAGTTAAAATTATTACTTAGGAACTCATTTGTGATTTATTACATAAAATTCCATGTTCAGGATACAGTAAAAAAAATATACCATAAACCCCTAGAGTAATAACTCTACCTGGATCAACAAAAATTAGATATATTAACATAAAAATTCTATTTTAGAAATTCTATTTATATTAATAACTAGCTTCAAGATTGTATCTGAAAATGATTCAAGGCCATGGGTTTCCACCGGTGGTGTTGCCAGTTAGGGGTCATCAATCAGTGACTCACAGTGATGCGAGAGTCATCAGAACCAAAGCCTGCCTGTCTCTGTGCAGCCTGTCCCCAAGCACACGTCACACAGTCTCGCTGTGTTGGAAACAACTATCAGAGTCACTCCTTAAGGATGTGCCTTCCTTTTGCTGACCCTCTATTTTACAAACTGTGATTTATAGTGCGGTGCATCACTTAAACAACTGTTAACACATAAAGTGTTCCTCTATGAAAAAAATGACATATGTATTAAGAACATACATACACCTTCCGTGAATAAGAGGGGAAAAGCTGCAGGGTAATACATACTTTTACACTATTTCATAAACCTATTATCATATGTAACAAAGACATTTTCCTTTTTTTCCTGATTATCTTCTGATTACTATCAGAAGAGTGAAAGGAACACGTCACAAAGGAGTTACAAGTAGGTATTAGGAAAAAATAGAGACTGAGATCAGCCTTCCGTATGAGGTTTTTTCCTAGATTCTGTTAGCAGTGACTCTTACCCTAACATTTAAGAGTGCCGGCGTAGGTAGCGTCTGTGGCTCCTGTTTAACAGGGAGTGCGGCCTCAGCCTCCAACCCTAGTTCTAACGCACCAAGGGGCACTGACTGGAGAGAAAACAAGAGCAGAGAGAGAAATGCAGAAGGATGGCAGTGAGCTCTGTCAAGAACAAGACTTTCAACAACTTTTACTAAAACAAAAACTGTTCACGTTTTGCAATTCAACTGAACATAAAGTCAATGAGGGCAAGTATCAAGTAACAGTTTTTATGAGGACAAAATCTTCACAGTTAACACCCAGGTTAGAATCTTATTGTTCCTTCAAGGAACGTGTATACGGAAACCACAGAAGAATGTTCTGGAAAAGTACAGAAGCTCTACTGAGATTAGCTGCCCTCTCATAGGCATACTAAACAATCCATCTCTTTTCCCTATACAACATTATCAAGGTAAACAATGCTACAATTTTCATAGAAAGTGTTCTTCTCCCCATGAAGGAAGACTAATAATTGAGCATAAAAACAGCAGTCACTCATGGGTGGGAGACTTCACTTGTATATTTAAAAGACTTAAATATGGTTTTCTCCATGTAGAAATGATAACTTACAAACTAAGCCTCACACAGGGGCTTGATAAACTCTTACCTGCTGAATCGGAGGGGTCGGCGTGGTTGGAGTTGCGAGGCCCAAGTCCCCTGCATCAATATCAAAGAGGTCATTTGGACTAATGCCACTCTCACTCAAAGCTGCAAGCAGTAAATCTTGCCCTGGTTCCACCATCTTTAGGACAAAATAAAAACAAAGAAAAGGTAGAATGACAAATATTAGTTCTTTACTTTTTTAGCATTTTCATTTATTGTTATGTGAGTGCAAACCCAAGCAGAACAAATTGGTTCCGTTCAACAAGCCCTGAGCATTGTTCCGTGCCTGACTGCAACCCCTGCAGGGTATCAGCTCCCCTGACACGCGCTGTCTGGGTTCCTCTTTCCAGTCATCCTCCTATCTTACCTCTTCCCGCCTTTAGAGTTCTATCTCTGGGCAAATGTTGCCCTTCCAAATCTTACACGGTTCTAACCTTGACTGTTCTGAGGGCAGTCTTCCCAATGTTACTGTTCACCTTCTAGGCTCGTCCAGCCTTTGGCTCAAAGTTGAGTCACAGTGATTTAGTTCCAGAATTGAAAGTATGTCCAAGGGTCATGGTTTCAGGGCCTCCACTAGACTGAGTCAGACTGGTCTGACTTATGATTTTGCATTTTGTTCTCTGTTATTAATTCTCTCCTAAACAAACTTCTCCATTAAACCTATTAATGCAACATTTATTCAGAACCTGACATGTGCTAGACAAACAATAAAAGTTCACAGTAAGATGGCAAGGACAGACAAGGTATGAACTTGGAACTATAATAACGATAGCTAGACAGATCCCGTGTGGCCAAAGGAAGAAGTTCTGATAAGAAATGACGAAGAGAAAGACATTGCCTCTGGCCTTGTCCACCATCTTCTGTCCATCTATTCATGTTGAGAAAGCCATCAGAGGAGTTTCGTAAGGACTAAGGTGCTTGAATTTGTGATTTTAGAAAAGTAATCCATACCAGTGTGCACATAAAAGGGAGCAGAGTGACACTCGGATCACAGCAAGGAAACACTTAGGTGACATGCAAGCAAGTCATGAGAAACGCAATGCTGTAAAAGCAGGGTGCAGAGCAAGAGGGAATGGTATGGAGGGTAACCTTAGAAGGAGAAGTCCACCGTAACACAAGAATCCATAGGTGTTAGTTTAAATAAAAACTCAGAATAGACGGGGAAATATGACATAAATCTACCACCTTTCCAAGGGAGCTCCGGGGGCCAAGTGGTGAGAAGCTGTGCTGTAATCCCAAAGGCACAGTTCAAGTTCACCAGCCGCTCCAAAATAGCAAGCTGTGCCATCTCCTCCCTTGCGATTTACAGTCCCTGCACACCCACTGGGGGGGGGGGGGCGCTGTGAGTCAGTTCCAGCTCAAAGCACACAACAAGAACAGCGGCAGAATACTGGATAATAGGAGCGCTGGTAGCCTCGTGGATAAGGCAGTGCACTGCTTTCCAAAGGCAAAAGATAGACAATCTCCTCCTATGTGATGGACAGTCTCTGAAAACCTGTTGGAGCGTCAGGGATGAGTCACTTCTGACACCACAGCAATGAGTGAGAGATTTCCGATTAAAGCTGAGACAGGGAACAGAGAAATCCTCCAAGGGTCAGTGTTATACAGGTATGTATAGAGCAAATGCTCTAACTGAAACACCAGTTCAAGACAGAGGCAAAGACATTTTAAATGGAAACCACATATCCCCCAAATGAGATTGTTCTTCAATTTTTTGGAGGGGAAGAGATACCTAAGTAAGAGGTGACATGAGGAAAGGAAGTAGCAATGCTGAGGTATCCTCATTCACAAATTTGACATGGTGGTTGTGCTCTTCATGTACAATGCCATATCTAAACCCAACAAACACTGAGACACATGAGACAGCTCTAAGAGATGAAATCAAAGAGCAGAAAGGTTAAATGACATGGCCAAAGACGGCCAGATGAAGAACGGCAGGAGACTGAAATTTAGTTCAAATTCCCAAACCAGGTATTGTCTTTCCAAAGAGTAGACCAAAGAGTTCACATTGGTAAACCATGACCCTTCAGTATTTCCACTTGAGACCAAAAACCAGACTGAGGGGTTAAATTAAAAGGGAAAACAGAGCATTGTACAGAAAGATGGAAATATCTAGAAGGGAAAAAACCAGCAAATGTCATAGCAGGCAAAGAAAGATAATCTACTTTTTTTAATACAGGCAGTTCCATACTATATCATGCTATGGAAAATGCCCTGCAATTCCAAAGGCACACACAGCTTATATCCCCCAGCTACTCTGCAGACGGATGGGCAATCTCTTCCCATGCAATTTACAGCCTCCGAAAATCCACAGAAGGGTGAAGGTCAAGCTCTGGGTCAGTTCCAACTTGATGACACACAACTACAACAGGACTATGAAAGATCTAGAAACCTAAACCAATACTTTTCAAAAATTCAAATCATAGATGCTTCATTAGGATCAACAAACTCTGGAACTGAAATCTTAGCCCATGTCGTCCTACAGAAACCTTAATCTAGATTCAGGAAAACCCAGAAACTACCTAAATATCATCTTTTCTTTCCTCCTTAATTAATGCTGGGAATGAGTTATTTATATTTGAAACACATGTTTTAATTGTGGCTACCAAACTATAGATCAAGGTAAAGTCCTTTGAAGACAGGGGCTTCATTAATTAGTAGTACAACAAATCCTGTCTCATTTTATCGGAGGTTTAGACACACTGCTAATTAAGGAAATACAAACTTATTGAAAGGGGTTCCTGAATTCTTAAGACCTCCTTGAGATAAATTTTCTTAACAATGTGCATTAAAAGTAAAAAGGAAATTAGTGGCAAGAAGCTGCACTGCAATCCCAGAGGAACACAGTTCGAATCCACCAGATGCTCTGCTGGAGAAGGAGGCGCAATATCCTCCTGTACCAGTCAGATCTGATTTGACGGTACACGCACACAAAGTAAAAAAAAAAAGTAAAAAGGAAAAAAAATAGAAAACCCAAAACTCCCTTTTATAAAAGGGAAGAGGAATTTTTTGTTCGTAAAAGATTAAGTTATAAATAATACTGTCAATGACCAACGCAGGACTCACTCACAGGAACCACAAGACCTTTTGATATGAGCTAAAGAAACCCTGATGACGTAGTAGGTTACGGTTAGGCACTGTGTTATCAACCAAAAGGCTAGTGGTTCAAATCCATCAGCCACGCCATTTCAGAACCCAAGCCCTATGAGGAACGTGGTGGTGGTTTTATTGTTTGGGGTGGAGAGGGAAATGATTTGAAAAGTGACTTAAAATGAAAAGATAATGCCTGTTAGTTTTTGTTTTGTTTTAAAAAAAGAGGCACTGTATTTTTACAAAGCACTAACAAAAACAGTTTTACCCTTCATCTACACAAACAGATCGATCCTTTCTGCCACTGACTTGCTCTTTATTCTAACACAAGCAAGGGAGGAAATGGCTAGAAAAGGTACGCCTATTCCATACCTTTAGGAAGCTCTGGTGGCCGAGTGGTCTGAAGCTGTGGTACAATCCAAGCACATGCAATTCAAATCCACCAGATGTTCTGCAGGACAAGGATGGGCAATCTACTCTCATGAGATTTACCGCTTCTGAAAACCCTCCAGAGAGTCAGCTCCAAGTTAGTTCCTACTCAGCTGTACACAACAACATCCCATACTCTAACCCCTTTCAGCAAAATCCTTCACATTTAGTATTGGGGTCCTGAAATTATTAGACGCCCAGAACTTCAGCACTTAGGCTGAGGAAGCCTTTATAAGGTTTTACTAGCCAATCTCTTTCACAAACAGGATTTATTCCCAAAAAGGAAACATTTTCACTTTAAACCTACAAAGTAAAACATGAATGCTAAATATTGTTAGGTGTCAGAGAACCATATTACAATGGGGCTACTAAGAAATTCATAGACATTTAAAACATCGCAATCTAAGCAACACAAAAGTTACTTAACCACAGAACGAGTCTGTCTGAGACAATGGACACTGAAAGGGCTCAATATTTTATCACAAATATGTATGAAATTATCACCAATTTGCTAAGAGTACAGCTATGCGCAAGCTTCTCTGATAAATAACAAGGACACAGCAGAAACTAAGAGCTCTTCTTGGCAGACAAAGTTCACTGAGGAACAATAGCCAACCAGAGATTGTAAAGGATACAGTTCCCATTGAGCGCACCAACACTGAGACAGCAACAAGGAGGGACAAGGGTCCCCTTGTTGAGAACCTAAAGCAGAACCCTGACGCTCTGCACAGACACAAGGGCCATAAAGGGAGCAGGGTACTCACGAGAGATCACCATAAGCAAGGAACAGGCTGAGTAACTGAGCTGAAATATTGGCTACAATACAGGACAGGACAGCGTTCAGGTCTGTTGTTCACAGGGTCACTATGGGTACAGGACTCGACAGTACCTCCCAACCCCCCCCCCCAGCAGTATGGTATCGGACTCAAGACTGCAGGACAGAGTAGAATCGTCCCACCGGGTTTCCAAAGCTGTCATTTTTACAGAAGCCGCCGGCTCAGTTGTGACTTTCAGCTTGTGTGAGATGATCAAGAAAGAACCAAGGTGATTCAGTTTGTTCACCCTAAAATGGGACTAAAAAGAACTTACACTACAGGACTGATTCAGGAGCACTGGTAGCATCCTAGAGTAACCACTGAGAAGCCAACGGACAGGTCAGCAACTACACCCTACAGCCGCTCCTAAGGAAAACAGGGAGGCAGCCTGTTTCCTGGGGGGCAACTCTATACTGTCCAACAGAGTTGCTAAGAATCAGAACCAACACAACAGCAGTGAGTTTGAGGACTATGTCTTATAGGGCTGCTGTGCTGACCAACAAAGCAAGTCAAATGGTAGAAATCCAACAGGTCTGACACCATGCCCTGCACTCCTGAAACTATACTGGTGGTTTTCAAACTGCTGGTTATAAGTTGTCAAATTAAGTTTCTGTATCATGACTCATGTTTTAAATATGTCAGTATAGAACAGGAAAATCAGAACAAGGCATGGAGGAATGGTCAGCATATTGTGTGAAAAGTCTACTAGGCATTTATTATGTACTATTAACATTTTAGTAAATTTTAGTACATCTAACAAGGCCTGTTTTCATCCATGTAACTGATGGTACATTCTACTCGGAAT